TTAGACCCTTTATAACTTTCTAAGATCAAAGTCTCTGCTCTGGTTGTGAGCAAGACGGCTAATCCCATCATCTTCCAGTGCTCAAATCTGTGGAAAACCGCTATCCTCTAGTCTCCTCGTGAGGAGCAGCACATGGGGGAGATCTCCCATCCTCTCCTTATCCGGAGAGGTTCCAAGGAACCAGTCTACTCATCGGTTCCTTGGTCTTCGCCACAGTTGTTGGTCTGCAAAAGCTATACCTCCCCCGGAAGTTCACTGTACTAAGTATTGCTAACGCAGCTTTAGGAAAAGGAACAAGAAAATGTTTGACTATAAGCTGCGTTGTACAAAGTGACATGGGAACTCACCTTTTGAACAACTGCAGTTTAAATCTCCAATGTCATTACTTTCTTCACATTTATTCATGCCCCCAGTTACATCAGATCTTTACTACTGAAGGGCATAGTCTCTGGGACAACTTTAAAGCCCATTTGGAAATAAAGTTGCTGCCAGACACCTCTGAACCCTTTCATTGCTTATGATTGACTTATGGCAAAGTTCCCATCCCTCATATAAATTTCCCTGAGCCTTTTAAGTTTGGCATCAGAGAAATTTTTCATGATTCTTTCCTTATTACCATAGCAATTGGCACTTTTCTTTGCTTTTATAATTTTTATAATTCATTATTTTACATTAATTTCATTTTATGTAGTAAAGGGTTAAATTGGGTAAGTTAACTGGATGTGCCAGATAGGCAGGGATCTCCTTGTTACAAGGAGGAGGAGTCAGTAAATATTGTTTCTCCTTTCAGAATGGCTTTGACTACCTGCTAACATACAGTGACAACCCGCAAACTGTGTTTCCTCGATACTGTGTCAGCTGGATGGTTTCCAGTGGTGAGTTTTGGGAATGTGGTTCTTCAGCTTAGAGAACAGGCTATCAAGGGGATAGAATGAGAACTGTGAATTGGTTATTGTGTTCTCAGATTTCAGAATTGTGTGATTTAAAAAATGCCAGTTTCATTTTTGAAGGCCTGATGATGTGGATAAGGTGCTTTAATTTACAGATTGCATGCCCCCATAACTTGTAACCTACAGTGGGGCAAAAAAGTATTTAGTCAGCCACCAATTGTGCAAGTTCTCCCACTTATAAAGATGAGAGAGGCCTGTAATTTCAATGTGATTTTCTGGATTTTTTCCCCCATTTTGTCTCTCATAGTTGAGGTATACAATGTGATTTTCTGGATTTTTTCCCCCATTTTGTCTCTCATAGTTGAGGTATACAATGTGATTTTCTGGATTTTTTCCCCCATTTTGTCTCTCATAGTTGAGGTATACAATGTGATTTTCTGGATTTTTTCCCCCATTTTGTCTCTCATAGTTGAGGTATACAATGTGATTTTCTGGATTTTTTCCCCCATTTTGTCTCTCATAGTTGAGGTATACAATGTGATTTTCTGGATTTTTTCCCCCATTTTGTCTCTCATAGTTGAGGTATACAATGTGATTTTCTGGATTTTTTCCCCCATTTTGTCTCTCATAGTTGAGGTATACAATGTGATTTTCTGGATTTTTTCCCCCATTTTGTCTCTCATAGTTGAGGTATACAATGTGATTTTCTGGATTTTTTCCCCCATTTTGTCTCTCATAGTTGAGGTATACAATGTGATTTTCTGGATTTTTTCCCCCATTTTGTCTCTCATAGTTGAGGTATACAATGTGATTTTCTGGATTTTTTCCCCCATTTTGTCTCTCATAGTTGAGGTATACAATGTGATTTTCTGGATTTTTTCCCCCATTTTGTCTCTCATAGTTGAGGTATACAATGTGATTTTCTGGATTTTTTCCCCCATTTTGTCTCTCATAGTTGAGGTATACCTATGATGAAAATTACAGGCCTCGCTCATCTTTTTAAGTGGGAGAACTTGCACAATTGGTGGCTGACTAAATACTTTTTTGCCCCACTATAAGTAGGAAAAGTCTAGGAAGCTACAAATTCCACCATGAAGGAATTATCCTGGGCTTTCTAAAGGAGGCTTGTATCATTGGACGGAAGACCTAGACAATTATAGAGCAGTAGCCAACATACCCTCAAGAGTCTAGTATCGATGATCAGCATTAGCAGCTGATCATGAAATGGGCTTTCTAGTTCCATTTGAATTGGAGTTTAGGGCTGGTTTTGGTACTGAGACAGCCTTGGTCACCCTGCTAGACAGTCTTTGTTGGGAGAGAGGGAATGTAATCCTATTGATTCTCCTAGTCTTCTTAACAGCTTTCAGCAGCATCAACCATATTATGTAAACCAATATTACATTGCACAGTGTCTCTGGAGCTACTGTCCAAGGGAGATGTGGGTAGAACAGCCTTGAAGTGGTTCTGCTTGTACCTTTATGGCCTTCTCCAGAAAGTGATGCTGGGAGATTTGGGCTCAACCCTGTGGTATTTATGCTGTGGGTTTTCACAGAATTCCATTTTATCCCCTGTGTTGTTCAATATCTCTGTGAAGTTGCTAATTGAGGTCAGAGACATAGAGCAAAATGTTATCAGTATGCTGATGGTCTTTAGCATGACCTCTCCTTTTCATCTGAGGCAGGTGAGGCAGTGGTACTGCTGAATCAATGCCTGCCCACCTGTAGTAATGGACTGGATGTGGGCCAGAGAGATGAAGCTCAATCTAGATAAGATGGATTTAGGATGAAGAGCACTTCCCAAGGGTCAAGTGTGCAGCTTGGGAGCACGTCTGGATCCATCCTTTTTGTTAGAGGCACAAGTAGCCTTTGTGGCATGGAGCATCTTTCTCCAGCTTAGGCTGGTGCACCAGTTATATCTTACTTGGATATATCTTGCTGCAGTAGTCCATGTCCTGGTGCTTTTGCAGAGTACAGATAGTCTTCACTTAACAACTGCCCTGTTTAGCAACCATTTGAAGATATGACAGTGCTGAAAAAGTAACTTTATGACCAGTCCTGGCATTTATGACTGTCACAGTGTCCCACAGTCATGTGGTCACCGTTTGCATGCTTCACAGCCAGCTTCTGACAAGCAGAGCCAATGGGGAAGCCGGCAGTAAAACTACAAGTCGTGGTCACGTGATACCTCGCTTAACGACAGTGGCTGAAGTGAGGTTGTAAGCCTGTCACGGTCACGTGATGTCTCGCTTAGCAACCGCATCACTTAGCAACAGAATTGCCAGTCTTAATTGTGGTTGTTAAGAGAGGACTAACTGTACTGCAGTACATTGAACTGCCCTTGAAGACAGTTCAGAAACTTCAATTAGTACAAAAACTGCAGCACGAGGACTGACTGGAAGTTTACAGTAGGAACACTTCACATCAGTTCAGTTCCCCATTTGTTTCCAGTCCCAGTGCTGGGTACTGGTTTTAATCTGTAAAGCCCTTCATGGTTCCACAGTATCTGAAGGAACATCTGTTCCCTGATGGTCCTACCTGTACACTGAGTTCATCTCTGGAGGGCCTATTCTGGGTGCCCTCCCATGCTGAAAGGCTTTTAATAATGTGCTCATTCTGCTGTGATAATTAACTTTTTTTATTGCAGCTCTTATTTTGTATTACCACTTGAATGCTTATGTTGCTGATTTTATTTTATTTTTTTAATGAAACAACTTGATGCGTGTTTTTATTTTTTTTAACTTCCTGACTTTAATTCTACTTGCAATTTTTAAATGTGAGCTGCCCCAGGATTTCTTTTAATGGGGAAGCCATATAGAAATGGAATGAATGGATGAGTAGCTTGGCAGAAGATTATCCTTAGATCCCCCATGAAAAGAGGCTGATTTTATATGATGGGGTCTTCATTGCTCCCCCTCAGGTTTGGTATTTGAGGATCATTCCCTTTTGTTATAGGAATTTGGAGAGGATCCTGCACGTAGTTGCCTTTTGAACTTGTTCAGAATTGGTTATTAATGCTTAGTTGAACTGAAAAGGCACCTCTTCAAATTCTGGTTCTCCTGAGCAGAACAGAGTCCCCAGAGTTTTGGTGGGACTCCTGTTCAGATCTCTCGAAGGTTTCAGTCCTGAGTGTAGCTCAGGGTTTCGGCCATGTTCTGGGAGGAGCAGGGATCCTGTGTTTCTGTAGGTAGCAATTTATGTGGGTGGGAGAGCTCTTCCGCCTAAACCCCAGGGGGAGAAGATAAGGATATATCTTAAGGCATAGGTGAGATCCTCAGCCCCCTATGAGGCTGCAGCCCATGTGATCTCCACTGGTTCTGATTGCTTAGTGCTCGGGGGTGGATTGGTTTCACTGACCATGTGTCGGTGTTCAAACACCTGGTATGCTTTTCCTCCACCTACATGTCCTCCTCGTTGCCCCCCTCACAGGCATGCCTGACTTCTTGGAGAAACTTCATACAGCTGCATTGAAGGCCAGGAACATGGAGATTGCTGTGAAAGACTATATTGCCTCTTCCAGATCCTGGAACAACGGGAGTGAGAACAGCAGTAGTGACGGGAAGACCAACTTGCCCAGCCAAGACCATAAAAATGAAGGGACCTGCAGCCCCGTTCAGATGGACTATGCTTAAAGGAGAGGGCTTGTTTGGCAATGCTGCCAGCCCGTGCCTCTTGCTCCAGGCTTTGAGAAGACCAAGGAGGGAGATGCCCTTGGGATCTCAATTCAGCTGACCACCTCCGCCTGTGTCTGTACTCCTCTTCCTCCCCTTCTCTGCCACTTCTCTTTCTTGAAAAAAAGCAACACCGTCAGCCCTTGGAAACCAGGCTCGGCACTCTTGAAAAACAGTTTTGTGCGGCCACTTCTGTGTAGTGGGGGGGGGGGCGCGGGTAGGGTGTTTGCTGAGAAATACACTGTGTTCCTGGGGGGGGCTCACTTCTTCCTCCCCCACCACTTGAGGCTCCCCTGCAAGCCATTTAGGGCGAAGCTCAGTAGAGTTTCCAGGTTATCGCATCTTTCCCCTTTTGTAGAGGTTAATAGCCTCAAGGCAGCTGCAGGGCTGGGCTGAGAGAGGCAAGTCCAACTGTTTGCAGCCCCAGTGCTGTCTTCTGCATCCTCATGGAGACCTGAATGCTTCTTCCTGGCTTCCCATGTATGTGTGTCTGTTAATCTTGTGCTCTGCCCACACAAGAGCTGCTTTGCTGCCAAAGTGCCTTTTTATCCCTGAGGCACAACTGAATGCCACCTCTTTGGCCACTGGAAGTGGGCAGTGAACCCGCTGAGAGCCAGTTGGCATTAGGGTCCGTGCTACACCCATTACTAAATCTCTGTCCACAGAGTGAAGGAAGGCCATATTTTTATGCAGCTTAAACCTCTCCCTCCTCCCCTTTTAGAACTGATCGCCTTTGACCACTGTTGGCTCACTTCCTCAACTTTTGAATGGGAGGAGGATTCTGATGTGATTATTTGTCAGTCTGATGATATCAACAAAAGTGCCACCTTGACTGTCCAAAGACACCATCTCTGAACTGGGTTTTCAAAGTAAAAGAAGGACCTGCCCACGTCGTCTTTGTGCGTGTTGGTCCAGAGTGTCCCTTTGCCATGTTGGAAGTGGAGATTCCTGCTTGGTGGTAGGCTAGCTAGCCGGCTTCCTGGGTGGCCAGAGCAGGGTAAGAAGGAGGAAGAGAGAATATCATTTTTTCTTGGAGGATTCATATGGGTGTATGAATGTATGTCATAAGACCGAATGTATGTCGTAAGAGCACATGTAGCAGGTGAGAACTTCCAAGATGCCTTTGCCTCCTTGCTGTAAGGTAGGGGGGGAAAACAGCTTATAACAGAGGTGCTTCACGTGGGGCAAGGCAAGTGGTTAAGCGTTATGCATGGTTCCTTCCAAGACTGTTTGGAGCCTCTTTTCCAACCTGGCACCCTGTAGGTGTGTTGACAGGAGGTGGTGGGAAGCAAAACTGGGGAAACCTACTCTCCAGTTTTTAAACCCTTGTTTTAAATTGATTTCTTCCATAAGCTCAGATGTACTAATTGGCTGAATTTCAGCCAGGCTTCCTAAGGGTGCTTTATGATTGGCAAGTGTACAGGGCAGGCTTTCTCATACACCTTGCTCACTAGCTGGTTGGATTACAAGCATGTCCCGTGTAAAACAGGAAGCAGGCTTACATCCTTTTCCCATGCCCAGGCATCTTATGCAGTGTTTCCCACAAGTGGAGTCTTCCCAAAGTGGGTCATGGGTAGCTTCATGATGCTAAGGAAGCTGGTCTCTGCCAGCTCCTCCCACCCCAAAAGTGTGGTTAGATACTATTGCAAATATATATATGGTGCCTCAGAGAACATTTTTGTATCAGAAGAGACAGTTGATATCCTCCCATTCTCTTCTGTTTTATGTGGTTGTGCATGTCATCTTTAGGGGAAAAAATCCACGAGTGGCAGGAAACGGGAAACGTGTAGGCTGACTAAGAAGAGCTCATCAGGGGTGGCAGGACTTTGGTCTGGGCTGAGTGATCAGAGGTACTGTACGTGCATGGAGATCCCCTTGTTCTTGTCCTGGGACCGTCTTAATATAATGGTTGAGTGATTTCTGTTTTTATTTCAACTAATGTTTTTATGAGAACCAAACATCAATAAATGTAACTCATTGGTGCTCCCATCTAACCAGGCTGCCTTCTGAGGAGTGGGTGGGAAAAAGCCTCCCATTGCTAAAAGCTTTCTTTGTGTTTAGAACATCTGTACGGGTTCGGCCTCCCATGTTCGCATCCCAAAATGGAAAGTGTTTTTGGCCAGTAATGGGTTTAGGTTAGGAATGGACTAACTACACAAAGCAGCATTATTGATACCTCTCCAGTCCCCCTAAATTCTGGGGGTTACATTTGTTTTTCCTGTGATTATGGGGCACTTTCTTTGGGATAATCCAAATTCTTCACTATAACCCCTGCCCGATATTAGGTCAGATTGCAGATAACATCATTTACAATTTAACATTACTTTGGCTTGGTTTGTTATATGGAGAAGGAAATATATCCAGTAGGACATATAACAATGTGACAATGCTCCATTTACTAGACGTCTTACACAAAAAAATTAATCCCCTTTCTTAAATCAAATATTCCTAATGATTTTTTTGAATGACTGCTGTATCAACCTGTCTAATTGCCAGTTGGGATATTCTGTTGACTTCTGCTTCAGACCACAGGAGAATTTCCAGTACTCTGGAGGCCATCAGGTGGGGAAGATTGAGCTAGCAACTGAACATCAAAATTTCAATTTAACTTTTGCAGTTTCCTCATTTGTTCTATTTGCTTTCCTGATCTTATTCCTGGTGTCCTTTTAATATATCGCCCGCTAGGTGGCAGCACGTCACTGCCATGTAAAGATCGTTCTGTTGAATAGGTTAGGTCTGTGCCAGTGCAGATCGGGCAGATTTGCTCTGAAGATTCAGTCTGTTTCATGTTCATTATGGAACTGCCAGTTTTAACAAGTTTAAAAAAGTGCACTATGGGATCCTATGGACAGCTGTTGTCAGATCCAAGAGAACACAGGAGAGGAACCTCTCTCCAGTAAGATAGCAGAAGTACAATTCTAATGAGGAAAAAACTCTGCATGTTAGAAAATGTTTGGATACCTAGAGAGCTTTTGACTCCCAAGAATTAAGAAGGGCATGAATAGGAAAGATGGGTGGAATCACCAAGGAACCAGACCACTGAGTAATTAATACCTGCAGAAAGCAAGATAAAAAGGCTAAAAGCACAAAGGGAGCTTAGTGTGCAAGGAATGCTGATAACAAAAGGTATTTTGTGGCTCTGTGAGTAGCCAAAGGAAGGGCAGAGCCCACTGGTTGATGAAGATATTGGTGCCATAATAGAGCTCCTCAATTTCTGCTTTGATTGCGTCTTCTCTTCAAAGGGCTGCTGTGTTCTGGTAGACATAAGCAGTATAAATGACACAGTGGAATTGCAAGCGAAGTCAGTAAATGGTTAAGGAGCATCTGGCTACCATGAGTGAATTTCAGTCTTCAGGGTCTGAGAATGTCGAAGGACTTCGTCGATGTCATCTCATACCCTGTTTCTTAAGTGTTGAGAAGAAGTGCAAGAGGACCAGGAAAGGGTCAACATTCTTTAAAAGGGGAAAAGGACTGGGTAACTATGGACTGGTAGCTGACACTGAATTCAGGCAAAACAATTACAAAACAAAAACGATTAAGGAACAATTACGCAATTTGTTTATGAGCATTTCAAAAAGAACGCATTGGTTAGCTCCCATAGGTTTATCAAAAATAAATGGAAACTTAAGAAATTGTGAATCAATCTGATGTTTTTTCCCATAGGGTACCCAGTTTAGTTGACCATGGAAATGTGGAGATAGCATGCCTTGATTTCAGCAATAATGCCTCCCATGAGGCCCTCGTAGAGAAGGTGGCAAAATGTGAGCTGGACAGTGCTACGTTAGGTGAAACTGCTTGAACAATCATACTCAACGAATACATAACTGTCAAGCTGGAAAGATGTATCAAATGGGATTCTACAGGTCTCCATTCTGGCCCTTGCTGTTCAACATATTTATAACAGACTTGGATGAGGGTAGAAAATACGATCTTTCAGTGCCCTAAAGGGTGGATAACAAGCAATTTAAAGTATCAAGAGGGTCTTGACAATCTGGGAAAACAGGCAGAAACCAGCCAGATGGATTCAGCAAGGACAAGTGTAAAGTGGGAAAAATCAAAGGCGTGAGTCTCAGGTAGCTGGGGAGGGGACAGCATCCAGAACAGTAGTGCACACAAAAGGATCATGTCAAGTGTACTTGTGTCAGCCCTGCAAGGTAGACCAGACTAAGTAACCAATGCCATGTAGGTCAGTCCTCTTGTCCTGCAAGGCCATTCCCTCTTCCCTCTACATCGAGTGATGCAGCTGCCCAAGAACATCTAGACTGCATCAAAAGTATGTCATGGTCAAGGGAAGTCATTTTTCCTCTATTCTGCAATGGTCAGGTCTCATTTCAACTACCACGTTAACTTCTGGGCACCATATTGTAGGAAGGACATTGACAGATGAGTGTGTCCAGAGGAACATAACCAAGATAGCAAGGGGCCAGGAAGGGGGAATAAAAACCAAAGAATGGAGACAGGGCAGATAAGCCTGCAAGGAGACATTGGAGTTGTCCTCAGGAATGCGAAGGGTGGTCTTGTAGAAGATAGGGCAGAATTGTTCAAAGATTTTTCAGAAGGCAATACAAGAAGCAGTGGGATCAATCTGGAAAAAGCTAGCTTTCAGTTAGACATGGGAAACATTTCCTAACTAACACATTCAGCAATGGAATGAACTACCTTGGGAAGCATTTAAACCGGCTAAACATCTGAGGATGCTATGTAACAGTGGATCCCTGAACTGGGCAAGGAGCTGGACTCCAAAATCTGTTCCAACCCTTATATTCAATGATCGAGGACGTGGTGCTGATAGCTTGAGCTGACTTTATCCGCCCAGCTTTGAGTTTTGAAACTTATGATTAATCTGTCAGAAGAGCAATACATATTAATGCTTCTTGTGATTATGGAGTATTCTTTAACTGTCTTTCCTTATCCAGCCACTAAGAGAAGCTCCACCCGTATTGAAAAATAGTAGAAGACCTTGTCTTTGGTGCTGGCACGTGCTCCTGCTCTGCAAAAATAAATCAGGAGGGGTAATTTTTAAAAAATCTGAATGAGAATTCCTGTCTTCACGGTGTACACTCTAGGGCCTTCTGCTCTTCACCTCCATAAATTAAACTCTGAAACACACTTCCCTGTTGCACGTTTTTTGTTTGAAAAAAATGAGAGGAAAAAAGATCTGGCTGACGTCAAGGTCCCCTTATTTCTTATTGTTAGATGAGACTTGTTAGAAAAAGGCAATGATAGTGGGAGCTGTGAGTCATGCAAGGTGGCAATAGGTTCATTTGTCCTCATTTTTGGAATATCCCGTGATTCTCAGATGGCAGAATTAGCGGATTCCGATGGAGGCAGACTGAAAGGGCTGGAAGCACGTGCTTCTATGAGGAACTACTAAATGATCTGATGACACAGAGCGGCATGCTATTCTTCACTGTGGGACATATTTTGAAGAGAGTAAAGCAACAGGCAGGGGATCGTGCCGAGATAAAAAGTGCTTTTTCGTAAGTTGGATGCAGTGGAAATAATTGGATAATCCAGTATGGCAGAATTAGCTGCCTCCAAACTCTTCGAAAGTAAAGAGAAATACGAAAAGCCACCTTATTAACTACAGAGGTGCAAAAACCATGATCTTGGAGCCATGTACATTCTGCAGGCATCTCTTTTCTAGACCAAGGATTTGGGTTCTTTTTTTAAAGCAGGGGGATTTTAAGGCCCAGAATTAAGCCCCGAAGATGCTTAAGGTACCCATTTCACTCCTTAAAATTCTGCTACCCAAAATGGGGCCTGGTCCTCTCCCTCTTAGAGCAGGGAGCTTGAATGGTTGTGCGAAGCCTGTTCCAGACCTTGAGCCCAAAGAAGCCTTGCGCCTTCCCTCGCCCCCCACCCACCGCACTGCTATGACAATCTTCCAGAGCCTTTGATCCTCTACTCTCTTGCTTTATTCATGGTTTTCTTGGAGGATATAGCCAGAAATGCAAGAAGTGGGTTGGGGGTTGCTGCTGCATCTCTCACTTCTGTTTTTGTGGTGGTGAACGGGGATGCTCTGCTAATCTTTTCATCAAGAACCTTGTCCAATGAGATAACATGCAGAGCTGTATGTAGGAGAGATGACTCACACCGGAATTGGCAAATCTTACCTCACACTGTTCAAGAAGCCACACTACAATGGAAACAGGAAGCCAGCGCTATGCCCCGGCCCATTGTGGTGGCTTCTAAAAAAAGCTTTTGGACAACTTTGAAGAGTGGGTGTTCAGTCCCCCTTGGGGAGGGGTGATGAGGAGGAGGTGAGGGTCTTCTCTATGTTTTGAAGCAAAAGCTTTAGGTTGTTCCTGCCCAGCAACAGCATCTTGCTGTCCATGAAGTCGACAGCTCCAGCTCCAGCTCCATGAATGAACAAGCTGAATAATCATCATGTTTGCAGAGGTTTACGTATTAAGTATATCACTGAAAAACCAAATGTGCAGGAAACGCTAGTGGCTTTCAAGAGTGCATATGACAAAAGGGGGGGGGACAGGTGAGGGGGTATAATCAGTGAAAAGGCAGCCTGTGCCCTGGTGTTGTAGGCCATTCCAAATGATGGTGGTTGAATTCAAACACTATGATGACAGAAGAGCTACTATCAAAACAACAGTCAGATAAGAGGGGCTTGAGCCCAGGCCAAGAAAATAACTTGAGAAAACATCTCAGAAGAGCCCCTCCCTAATTCACATGAAGATAAAGAAGGGGGGGAGGAAGCCCATTCATACTTGCAAGATTCTGTTACAATAAAAATAGTCCTATGTGGCATTGGTTTCTTAGTCTGGTCTACCTTGCTGGACTGACAATGCCACTCTTGTTTTAACTATGGTTTGTTGAATAAGCCACAATCAAGCCATGGCACGGAGGTCAATCACCATCAAGGAATAAGCCTGTGATGTGGCTGCAAAAAGTGAAATGAATGTTAGGTTGCGTAAGTAGATGGGCAGTTTCCAAATCATGGGCGGTAAATTCTTCCCAGAATTCT